TTCCGAATAGACATTCTGCTTGATCCCACTGTTTTAGTAAAAAAAAGAACTAGTAAAAAAGAACTTGGTTTAACCTTCAGGATTTCTCCTTAATATATCTTCATCTGAGAATTTCTTTCAAGAGAGCTCTTTATAATCTTAATGGTTTGTTGAGCTACAAGAACTGCCATTTAAAAAATAATAGGACAGGGGCTTCCCTGGTGGCGCAGTGGTTGAGAGTCCACCTGCCGATGCAGGGGACATGGGTTCGTGCCCCGGTCCGGGAAGATCCCACATGCCGCGGAGCATCTGGGCCCGTGAGCCATGGCCACTGAGCCTGTGCGTCCGGAGCCTGTGCTCCATAACGGGAGAGGCCACAACAGTGAGAGGCCCGCGTACCGGAAAAATAAAAATAAAAAAATAAAATAAAAAATAATAGGACAAAAAAATAATAGGACAGCAGGTGGTTTATTGTTTAATATACCTATGGAATATGTACAGACTGGATTTACAAATATTTTAAACTGGACCGGGTGGATATTGAAGTAACCCATCAAAATGTGCTCTGCAATGATTCTGCTTAACGTTCAAGTTCAGTAACTAAGGCATATGTTTCTTACTCTGCTTGCAAGGCACATGGCATTGCTTTTGTGTGTTGGAGGGGGATTTGTGGTTTGTGCTAAGAGCCGCTTCTGACTGAAAGGGGTAGAAGTTGGGCTGATTTTTTTTTTTTTCCTCCTCGAGGCTCTTTCTGGGAATTTTGTTTTTTTGTCTTTAAAAAAAAACAAAAACAAAAACTTTCCTGAATGTATCATGTCTTCGTTAACAACTGAAAATATATGTGGTGTTTACTAAACTTGTTTACTATATTAAATTTTCCTTTTTATTTTTAGTAGCCCAGGTTCTTGAGTTTTTCAAGACAGATTTTTTTTTTTTCTTAGCTGAGGTATAGTTCTAGGGAGGAGATTTAATTAAGCCACAATTTTGTGTGTGAAAAGACAGTTTCCTATCCAGGTCTTTTCTGTTATCAGAGGGAAGGAGTATGGTTCAAACAAACCCCATTAGGTTACTTCTGCAGCATGTGCTTTTAGCTTCTCTCTTGACTAAGGATCAAATATCCCTTTGTGAATTGGCCTTCAGCTCCTTTGCTTCTGTGTATAAACCTTGGATGTTAACTACATTTTATATTTACCAGAGCTATTTGAGCAATAGTATTTGAACCACTAGCCTTTTAAATAAAAGTCTGCCCCATTGCTAATGTGCAGATACTGAGTCCACTTTCATTTCTTGCCAGCTTTCTTTGCACTGCTTTAGGCAAAAAGTGTTCATCTGTTTTTCTTTGATTGATACCCCAGTTTGTTGCAGTGACAGAACTTAATGCTTAATCTTTGGATTTCATATATATATATATATATATATATGAGAAATATATACACACACATATATGAAGTGTAATGCACTGTCCAAGTGAAATGTCCTAGTTGTCCTTGTGATTAAGGGGCCAACTTTCCAGGCAGCCAGCAGAGGTGTTAATTCTGTTTGTCTCCCAGCAAACTTTCATTCCTTTGCCCACCCATTCCCACTACACTAGATGGCAGCTGGTGATGGCACAATAGATTTCTGCAGTCCCATCTTGAATGTGGCAGGTTGAAGATGTACTGCCAAGGGTGATCTAGGGCTGCCCACATATTCTAGACTGCCATGGGCAGTGGTTTGGCTACCACCTTGAGTCTATTTGGACATCTGTCTAAACCTGAATTTTTTGTCAAAAACCTTAACAAAACAAATCTTGAGTAGCTCATGCTCTGCTCTTAGGAATTCTGTCGTTTAAAAATAATGTTCAACTTTCTTTATCCTTTTTATTTTTTTAACCTAGTCACTGTTTACAGTTATATGCTAAAGCCTGAAATATTGTCTGTGCTGTGGTATATGAGCATTGCCAATTTTATATTTATTGCAGCGAAGAAGAAACTAAAGATATAAGAAAATGAGCATGGCTGTGCTCCTAAATCTGTGTGGGTGCATGTGGGAGAAGTGAGTTGGGATCTCTTGAAAGGAGGCTTTTTGGGGTGGGGTCTCCCAGGCTTCTTGGTGTTCCTGCTTGGGGATCACTGCTGCTAGTTGACTGGACCTCCCCAACGGAAGTTTGTGATTCCGCTTTGGCAAAATTTCATTGACTAGTAGAACTCATTCTGTTTTAGTGCATATCTCAATATAAATGTAAACATTTCACTCAAACTTGCTGTCTTTCTGTCTCCTTTATCATAGTTTGAATTCCCATGAAGAGAGAATTCAAATTCAAATTTTTCTTCCTACCTTATCACAGGCAAATTGGATACTTAGATCATCCTGCTGCTTTTCTGTGGAACTGAATATACCAAGCTGACCCTCATCACTTATCTCCTTGGGGATGCAGAATGGCAGGGTAGGATGAGCAGATAGAAGGAATCCTAAGTAAATACGTGGAAATATTGTCAAGTGAAATATTTCAGATTTGTTAATAGTATCTGGTAGTTAAAAACAGAATTAAGTCATTAAATGGAACTCTTGACCCTTTTTCCTAATTTCAAATCTTTAGAATTTTATTCACGTTAATTGTCCCAATTTCTGTAGTTTCTCCATTCCTCATGCTAATAATCACCAGTTCTTTTTTACATTTTGGAATATTTCTCCTGTTACCCCCAGCTTGAACTTAAGTGCCTCAAATTAATTGGACTCTTCTGAGTTCCTGTGTCATCTCGGGAGAAAAGCTTCAGGATAACATTTCCCGTGTATTAACCACCTAAGCAATTTAGGTAGGTGTATCTCCACTTTACTGTTGGCTGGGAGGCCTGGAGAAGTTTGCTGTCTTGTCAAAGATGAGTCGTGTAATATAAATGTTTGAGCTGGGATTTGAACCCAGCTTTACCTGACTTCGAAGTCCTTGCTCTTAACCACTACACATTCAACCTGGGGTGTCTTTTTAGCTCTAGGTTCTGATTCACTGAGTTCATTGCAGATACATCCCTAGTTTCCTTTCAGTTGAAAGTCCTGGGAATGAAGTCACGGTCTTCTCACCTGGACCAAAGGCAACAGCTTCCTTCAGTCTTTCTGCAATCAATATACTCCCTTTCGATTCCATCCTCCACATGGCCATGGAATTATTAGAATTTTTTTAAAGTGCATTACCTGGCCATCTTGTTTCCCACCTTAAAACCAGCAGTAGAATTTAAATTGTGTTTATAGAGCCAAGAATTTTTGGTGGTACGCATGAAGGGGTTCAAAGACTGGCAACTGTATTAACATGTCAGGAAGTTCAGATTGACAGGAGGATACTTGGGTAAGTGAAATAAGATTTAAAGTCTAAAAGAGGAAAGTGTAAGTACAGTCAGTAATAAATGGAAGAATGATTAAAATAGGAGTTGTCAGCTTCCATATGCTGAGGGGTGGTGGTGGGGGCCACAAGTGCAGATGGAAATACTGAATGAGGGTTCATGTCAGACCTTCAGAAAACACAGCTGCCTCCCTTGAAGTCCACTCCATACATGAGTCCAGACAGTTCTGCAGGTGGGTTTCTGTGGATGTGTGCTGTGGACCACCTCAACTGATCTGGGTGAATGGCCTCAGTCTCAGTATAACAATGTGGCTGCTAGTGACAAGGTGGACACAGTTCTTTATCACCTTTGCCTCCCCAAGCTAACACATCTGCCCCAAGGACAACCTCTTTAGAGCTGTGTGACCAGAACAAGGGTCACCTGGCCCATTAGGGCCTATCCAGATGACTAACACCACCAACCACGCCAGCAATGATTACAGCAGATTGATAATGCCAATAAAATGTTCCTAAGCAGCTAAAATTGTCTGTGGTTTTTGCTACATTTGCTTTATCACTTCTCACCATGGTGAGGCTATTGGATTAAAATGATTTACTCCTATAAAAGGATAAAATTTGGAGATAACAGGTATTTTTGTTTTTCTACTTACCTCCCCCTGCCCACCCTCCCCATCTATTCACACCAAGTTCCTCTCCACCCGCCCCCCAGAGGCGTTGCCTTGTGAGCTGGTCACAGGTTCCCCTTAAATCACAGGACAGCAGTGAAAGCAGCCTGGGGCCTGAGGCTTTGCTGATTGTTTCCAAACTATGCTGTGTGAACCTCTTCAGTGGCCCAGAAGTGGAAGAGAGGGTAGTGTGGTGGAAGGGGAAGCTCCCTCACCAGCATCTACT